CGACAGTGCATCTTAACATCCATATTAGCTGTGATACATTACAATTACTTGTTTTATTTTTATTTTATTTTATTTTTTCATTTTATTTCATTTATTTTATCTTATTCCATTATATTTTTTCATAAATAGTCTATATTCCATTTTAATCTAATTTAGTTGTTTCATTTACGGATTCGTTTATTAAAATTTCTTATATATCATTATAAACTTAATAATTAATTTTGACAATTTTCCATATTCTTTCCACACATGTCTTCTTTTCACATTCAACTAACTTATTTACGTTTTATTTACATCATCCGATTTTAACAAATTTCACTGAACTAAATTTCAGTATTAATTTATTTGTTTTAATATTTAATTTAATACTATTTTACTAACTTTTTATATACATTTATATTTTTAACCATAAATTTAATTTGTACATGTTTTGCATTGTTTTCACTAACAAAGGTTTCTCGTTATTTTCTTAATAATTTTATTACACATTTAATATGCATTCTAATTTTATAAAAATATTTCATGCTATTCTTATTTTCATAGGCTCTGAAGATGGACTTCCCGAAACAGCGCTGTTAGCCTTACCATGTCTATTGTTTTAAATAAATACGAGTTTAATAAATTCAGACTTGTTGAGTGTTCATTAAAGAAAGTCATTAATGCAAAATGGGCATATATCTTCAATGATGTTTGTATTAAAGAAAACCTCGTTCCGAAATATATTAGAAATTTGCCCCGAGGTATACCACACACAGGACATATTCACCTTCTCCAGCAACAACTTGACCAAGCGCGAGAGAAAGAATCCTGTGCCACTCAACAGTATAAAAGTATCCTTGACGATATTGAAAAAGATAGACAGATTGATTTTAACAACTTCAAAGCTTACACACAACAAAAATATGACTCTTATAACTCAACTAAACGTGAAATAATCTTAAAAAAGCTGCAATATTTGTTTAAAGGCAGCATTATTCTCCCTGACAACACTATCCAATCATACGTTAATCTTTCTAATCATACCCTAGCCGACGATGAAGTTTCCTTTTTGAATTTAGGTTTGAATATGCATTTTAGACACAAGTATAGCAATATACACAAGGAAGTAGAGCTGGAGATGCTATACAATCAACTTCAGAGATTGAAAAAGCAACGGATTATTGACTTTGAACATGGCTTACACAGTCAACTGCAGGCTGAATCTCATCGACATCGAAATGGATATCGCAAACCTGTTCTTTCGAGGGAATTACTCAACGCGGCTAAACGTCTCCGTTCCAACATTGATCTAACGATACGTAAATCAGATAAATCTAATATGTATGTGATACTAAATAAAACAGATTACCTTCAGCAAATCAATAATATCCTGGCTGACACTACTAAGTTTGAACGCATTACAAAAGATCCTACTAGCGATATAAAAACATTGATTGCACAAGTTAATTTAGCCTCAACTATCAACAAACTTACGCCTATCGTAGGTGATTACGCTCCTGGATATATTTATGGTAACGTGAAAACACACAAGTTGAATAACCCTTTGCGTCCTATCATTTCACAGTGCCCCACGCCTACATATCAATTGGCAAAAACAATCAATAAACTGTTACAACCGTATATTCCACGCACATTTTCTGTTAATTCTAGTTGTGAGTTTATTGATATCATAAATGGCAATAAAGAGTGTGATGGACATATGGCTTCTCTCGACGTCGAGAGCCTATTCACAAATGTTCCAATCGAACATACTATCGACATCATATGTTCACATGTTTACAACCATCCCACACTACCTCAGCTTGATATACATCCAGATTTACTCAAAGATATTTTGCGATTGTGCACTGTTCAGAGTCCGTTCACTGCTCCCGATGGTTTACTTTATCTGCAGGTGGATGGTGTGGCGATGGGATCTCCTCTTGGCCCACTTTTTGCTGAGTTTTATATGTCGGATCTTGAAACTCGCATATGCAACACGAGAAACAATTAATTTCAAAGGTCTATGTTAAGCCAACCAACTCAGGTCAGGTGCTTAATTACAACTCAGATTGCCCTGAAAAATATAAATATAACGTAGTTTATAATTTTGTGCACAGGGCATATAAAATTTCATCCAATAATACTATTTTTCATAGTGAATTAGTTAGAATCAAACAATTCTTAATAAACAATAATTACCCGAACAAGTTAATAGATACCATTATTCGCAAATACTTGAATAAAATCAGTGACTCAACATCTGTTACTTTGCTACCATCGGCTTCAACAAAAACAATAATACCGATCTTTTACCTTAATCAAATGCATGACAACTACAAAATAGACGAATTTCAACTTAAAAATATTATAAAATCTAATATCTCCATGTGTAATGGTGAACATAAACTTAAACTCATCATATATTATAAAACTAACCGGACTTCTAACTTAATAATAAAAAATAGTAATAGACATTCTACAAGTATTTTGGAACAGAGTAGCGTGGTGTACAGCTTCAATTGTCCTATGCCACACAGTGTTGTGGAAAATTATGTTGGGCATACGCGTACTACTCTGGCCAGAAGGCTTACGATGCACGTACAGAACGGTGCCATTAAAGATCATATGCTCAAATCTCACGGTTTGCCACTAACCAGAGCATTACTTGATGTTAACACGAAAATACTTGAACGTGAATCGCACCCAGTTCGCCTCAAAATAAAGAAGCTA